TCTTATTTATTTCTGTGTTCTCTTGTTTTTCCCCATTCTTCTTTTAATACAGCACTTAAGTTTAAAGAACTCTCTGCAGTCCTGTATAAGTGTACTGTTACTCCTTCCAAAAGAATTCAGAGTGTGAGTAGCAGCCAGGTGCTGCTAATAAAATGCACTTGATAAACCAATCATCAGAAAGTGTCAGCACCTTTAGAAATCCAGTTTTGGCATTATTATTTATTAGTGGAAAGACTCAAACAGTTGCCAATCTTAATTTGAGAAAACTCATCCCGATGACTCCATGCAATGGTTTGCACTTAGTGAAACTGCAAAATACCTAAAGGCAGGCTATAGAGGCCTCAGGTAGCATGTTAAATGTTTATGACAGTACGAGTAAAGAAAGACTCCAGTGTGGTTTGGTTTGGAGAGATTTCCAGAAGAAAGCCGTTTGTCTCTAAAATGAACATTGCAGCACAGATTAGGTTTGTAAAGATACATCAGAGCAAACCACAAGACCTCTGGAACCATTTTCTTTGAATAAACAAGAACAAATTGCAGATGTTTGTCATTAATTACAGCATCTGGCCACCTTGTTGACCATCATGGGGTGGCTGTAGCTCAGGTGGCAGAGCAGGTCAGCCACTAACCAGGAGGTCGGTGGTTCGATCCCAGGCTCCCAGGCTGCATGCCAAATATCCTTGGGCAAGATATTAACCCCGTGTTTGGGGTGGCGCCAGTGTCCAGCAGCCTCGCCTCTGTCAGTGCGGGCAGCCTCGCCTCTGTCAGTGCGCCCCAGGGCAGCTGTGGCTACAATGTAGCTTGCCGTGCGTGACCAGTTTGTGAATGTGTGTGTGAATGGGTGAATGACTGAATGTAGTGTAAAGCGCTTTGGGGTCCTTAGGGACTGAGTAAAGCGCTATACAAATGCAGGCCATTTACCATCAACTCCTCTGTATATCAAAGTATTCTAGAGTCAAGGGGCCAACTGTCTGACAGTTAAAACTTGATAAAAACTGGGTCATGTCACAAAAATATTCTTCAGCACACCAGGAAATCTGCAACAGAAAGGTTGAAGAAAGAGAATTAGTTGTTGTTGAAAGAGTCCAGCAAGTATTCAAAATAAAAAGTGTCTACGGGAGGTGATCAAATGTCTAAATTAAAAAAACCTCTCATGCGCACAGCAGTTTTGTCAACACCACCAACAGTTTGTTTTCATGAAGCAATTAGTAAAGTAATGTTAAATAATTTTAATTATAACCAGTGAAACAGAGTATGTTACCATCCCATCTGAAAAATCCACCTGATAAAGTGTTGGCACGGGCCAGATTTGGTTGCAGTCGTTATGCAGACGACATTGGGTTTCACTGAAGATGAACCTCGTCTGTGCTGCTGTTAGACCTTATTACCTGACTCTGACGTTGCTCATTGTGTTTGTTGTTTGTGCAGCAAACCCAGATTCCAGACTACGCTGAGCTGATTGTCAAGTTCTTGGAGGCATTGATTGACAGCTACCTGCCAGCAGCTGACGAGGAACGAGGGGAGGAGCAACTGAGGACACCTACTTCCCCCTACCCTCCTACCAGCCAGAGCCAGCTTAGCATCACTGCCAACCTCAACCTGTCAAACTCGATGACCTCACTGGCCACTTCACAGCACTCACCAGGTGTCCATCTCTCTCTACAACAAAAAGCGTACAGTCACTCTAACTCTCTGTATTAAAGCTTCCTGTTTTTTCACCTTGTCTACATGTTTTACTTCATCATCTAGTGAATTCAAATCAAAATGTTCTCATCCGAGTCACAGTCCAGAGAGAAAGCTGGTCACATTCTTGTCCTGCGTTACCTCCTTTTGTTTGAAAAGACATTTCTTGTAAAGGGTTAAATATTTACCAGGAAATCTTCTTCATCATGAATCATCTCGAGGGGGTTGGATGCTGAGAATAATTTTTTTGGACTAGAATTACTGCTTACACGAAGAGAAGACTTTCACATAGAGCGCTTGCTCATAGTCATATGTCACAGATGGCGGACATGATGAGTAGTGTTGTCTCATGTCAGTCATCTGTGTGTCTTGTCTTACAGACAATAAAACCAAAAAAGTTAATCTGTTAGTGATTAATCATCAAAGAAGATTCACAGAAACATAAAGTTTCGGTTCATGTTACTCGAAGTTAGACTAAAAACATCTTTCTAAAGGAAAGCAGTCAGTGATGGGAGAGGTGATGTTTTAGATGTTCTGACTTGCACGACATGCTCACTCCTGCGATCAAAGAGATCTCAATAAAGTCTCTGACGCAGTGCTCACGTCTACCAAACCTTCCACTACACTGGCAGCCCTGATGAAGTGTGGTTAAAAAATACTAAATTTGCATTGTTTCCCTTTTCACCTTTATCTCTAGAACCAGGCTACAATAACATCAGCAGCTCGTCTATTTAAGAATAGACGAGCTGCTGCAAATTCATAATAAGCGGGCGGTTCCGTCTTCTGCACGCTCAACCCACGAAGCACCCTTAGCTTAAATAAGCACCCGCTGTCAGGTATGGTTTCTAGCTACTTCCAGAACAGGTCTGCCTTGGGCCTCGTGTTGTGTGCAGGATGTAACAAAGAACACCTTTAGACACTGTCCTGACCTGATTCTTCAACAGTTTGTTATAAGGTTGAAGGATATAATATAGACATTTTAAGACTACTAGGAAATTAACAGTGAGTGGCAGTTTACTTTATTTGTACAATGAATACATGTCACATATAAAAACAAAAATTCTGTTAAAATGCAACGCAGTATAGAAAAGAAACTCAAAGAGCTTATTTGAAGTCTGTTTAATTAGACAAACAATATCATAAACAAGCTAAGAGATGTTTCTAGAAAAAAACACATTTACAAACTCTGCAAGTCTGCCTAACCAAAAGGATTCTCAAACTGTTAGCATCCATCCATAAATCCATGTATTGTAGCAGTCATAAGGCACAGGCTAAATAGAGAGACGGTCATTTTCATTGACAATTTGCATCAACCTAAGATGCATGACTTTGGACTGGGAGGAAGCCGAAATACCAGAGATAAAGTCCACACGCTGAGACGACATGCAAGCTCCACACAGAAAGGGCCCCTGGATGTAGATGCAGGACCGTCTCGCTGTGAGGTGACAGTGCTAACCGCTGCGCCACGTCTCCTTCGCAATACCTTTCATTCATCAGACTTGTAAATGTTTTAATTAGATAATTTCCCAAGATTAGAAATATATGGTTGGTCTCAATAACAATATAATCTAAAGAGATTTTAAGAAAAATGGTCGAGAAAACAATCCCAGACAAAGGGAATGCCTTTAAAGCCTGTCATCCCTGTGTTCCTCCAGGTGTAGATAAGGAGAATGTCCAGTTGTCCCCCAGCTCAGCTTTGTCCAGTGGAGGTCGTACTCGCCATGGTTCAGCCAGTCAGGTCCAGAAGCAGCGCAGTGCTGGCAGCTTCAAGAGACCCAGCATCAAGAAGATTGTCTGATCGACCAGAGAAGACAGCTGCCCCGTCACACATATACTTTCTTTCTCCCCCTCTCCACCTGTCCCAGGCCTGCCAGGCCTCATGCTGCACTCCACATTTACTCTTTAGTTCCTCCTTCACGGTTGTTGCTTTGGCAGAACAGGTGATCGTGTGTTTCGTAACAAGGAGGAATATTAGCAAGGGCAAACTTGAATTCTGCTGCTTGATTTTTATTTATTTTATAATTTTTTTATCATTATAATTGTTTTCTTTCTCCTTTTTTTCCTCAAATCTTTAACTTTAGACAGTACATGGTGTCAGACAGGCTCCTTCTCTTCATAGGGACAGTGTTTGGAAACACTTTAACTGTCCTGCCGTGAGGGACGCCACACTTTAAGTGGAAAAACTGAAGGGAAAATGGTGTGAATGGATTCGGATGTCGACTGTGATGTGTCTCGGTCGGCACAGTCCAAACAGGAAGTCTCTGACTTCAGGCAAGTCCCTTGGCCTTCCTCCAGACTAAATATTCCAGTGTCAGTGAGATGGACCAAACGACAACAGTAAATAGGCGATTGGGTGTGTCTGCGAGAAAAGACCTCTTCTCTGGACATCTCAGCTCCCCTCTCCCAGTACTGTACATATGTTACATAGATTATGTATAACTAGTCCTTAGTTCTAATTTAGATGTGGATGTTTTCTCCATGGTGTGCCTTTGTCAGGGTTTTTCAATGTGTACAATTTGTAAAGTAAAATTAAAATCTTGCTGGGGACAAAGACCAGGTACTAATCTTGGAGGCGAGCCATCCATATCTTCACAAGTTCACCAAGCTATGTCACGACAGGCCTCCAACGATCATCAAATATACAATCATCAATATACCCTGCTGCCTGAAAATATTTATCTTGTACAAGTAGATCATAGTACACGAATCATCTATTTACTTTCCATAAACTGTCTTTCAACATGAAGATTGCAAAACACTAGAGAAAATGCATCTGTAAATAGCTGCGAGCTTTCGGGTTTGTTTGGTTTTTCTGTCCTTGTGTTTTTTGTTGATATTTTATTATGAACTGTATTTTTTTTTAGCAGCATAGCATTAAATTTGTTTACACATGGACCATGAAAATTGAGTAATAGGCAATAATCCTCAACTCTCAAACTTTGTCAACCTTTTTTTTTTCCTTCACACAAACCGGAAGAACACATTACTGTCAGCTTGGTGCAATATGTGGCCAACTTCTGAGTTACTTGTTCAAATAGAGATTTAACTCATAGTGGACAGCGTGGTTTCTAGGCGTGTTTCATCTCGGCAGTCTGAGCTGGATCCTTGAAAAGGAAAGTCCAACCAGAAAGCAGCTTCGTCTGTTAGAGGAGTTGACTGTGCTCTTCTGTTTTTAAATCTGACTAAAGTCGCCACTGTTCCCGTCTGTACGAAAGTGAAAATCAAAAAACTCGTCACTGTCATGCAGCCAGAGTCTTGCCTTCTACTTGCTCATAAATGAGGCCGTAGCTCACGTCCTGAGCCTCTGCCGTTTTGAGCTTTCAGTGATCTTTGCTGTGCAATCATCATTTTCATAACAAAATTATTACTAAATATTAGCTTTACTCACAGAAACTCATTACCTTTATTATTCAGGATGATTTTCAAAATAAATGTATTTTATTGACAAACACTTGGTTTTATCAGCAAACATTACCAGTATTGAAATAATAATATTCGTGTTTACTTTTCATGTTCTTATAAACATTGATTTTGAAAATAAGCCTAAAACAGACATTTTTTTTAAAAAATTGTGATTATAGCCATCAGCTGCTTTTTCCCCAGATGTCTTTGCTAAGATGGAGTATTAAGTAATCGTCCATCTGCCCGGCCCTTAAAACCATGTCTGAATCCCATCTACTGGACACAAACTGGTTCTGAATTATGTCAACAGTGTCAGAAGCACCTGTTTCCAAGATGTAGGTGTCATGTTATCTTTATATACGCCTGATAGCTCACAGCAGTACCAAAAAGTGTAAAATTAGACAATTTTCTACAAAATTACCCAAGAACACAAAACAATAGGTCACAGAGCAGGACAAAGCACTAAGACTGTGACTTATGGTTCATTTCTATAGCTCCTTTGACCTTTTCTGAGAACAAAATGTTTGATCAAAGAGGGTGACAAAGTGACTGAATATAGTGGCAACTGACAGTGCTTGACATTTACTTTATATGTAGCTGCCCACAAAAACGATCAGGTATTCAGAAAGAAATGGGCATCATACCCCGCTCCATTTGGTATGGTTTTCTAGCATTACTGAAAAATGGTGAAATAAAACGTGGTTTCGGTTTCAGTCCTTAAAAGTAATTCCAGAGCTCCCAGTCCGCACGATCATAGAGATGACAGGTCTTCACTTGCAGAGACTGAGCAGATTCTTTGGGCGAAGTACGTGGTAGTAAATGCTTTTCATCTGTGTGGCTTCAGAACGGTCTACATAATAAGAATTGTGTTTCGGCTCATTTACTACATATCACGGGAACTGTGCATCACTGCTGACTGTTTTCAAAGCATGCTGTTGTGTTTTAGATGCTGTACTGCAGTTCTAACTTTCAGGGCAGCCTGCATGTGGTGATAGAAAGTGAGATAACAAAAAAAATCTGCAGTACAACCCAACACGTCTCTACGTGCAATGGTGTCAAAGTATAAGAAACCGGAATGGTTTACTTTTACACTCACACTGTTCCACTCACTACATATGTTGGTCACAATACTCCAAAAATTGTTCACAATTAAAATTAAATCATTAAAAATTATTGGCTCTTTCATTATTGGGTTTTTTAAACTGCCAGTCATTGCTATCGTTATTGTCTTTCCATTATTATTATTACTCTTCACAATAACAATAAACCTCTGACAACACAAGCAGTCACGACGCTCAGTGTAGATCACTTAACCTGCCTTGCAGGCTGATCTGGATGTTGGAACCTGTAGCTGTTTTGAGAAAATGACTTGCTTTGGAAGTGATCACAAAATTTGTAGTGACACTGTGTCCTGGACCTGTGCAGTTAGTCAAAACACTTTAATCTATGCATAAAAAGAGTTGAGTATTGTTGAACAACTATGAATTTATTTTAAACATATTTTTTAAAGATTAATGTCATTTGTTGATACATCTGTGAATCGGTCGCAACAGATTTCTTTCCTTGTCTTGTAGTGGTCTGACAGGATGTTATTTTCTACTGTGCATGTAGCTCTTTCAGTCAGTATATCATGAGATTTGTCATAAAGGAGAAAGAGAAATACTTTAATGAAGGATGTTTAGTTAAATAAATGAACACATGAAACGTGACTTCTTATGTTGGCCTCCATGAGGCCATCGCTAACAGATTTTCTTGTATAAAATCAAAGAGTCAAAATCAAACAAGAAATATGTATTGCTGAAGTCCTAACATTGTTTTAAAGTACAAGAAGTTAATAAATGCCCAAAGAGTTCCATTGATGTACAATCTGAAAGGGCCGGAAGGAAAAAAACATTTCTGAATGTTCCAGTGGGCTTCAGTCTTGCAGCTTTCTGGTCAGAGTGCTGAAAAAGCAGGTAACTCTGGACACTTGACAGTTCTTCTATGTCAACTTTACACAATTTGTCCATCTGAAATACTCATTCTGTCAGAATAGATGGTAATAGAGACCAAAATGTTTTGCCTTAAGTTGACAGAGACGTATAATTGGATCCATCAATATTGCTTCCTGACGAATCGTAGCATGGTGCCTTTCATGATTTGTGAGATGTCATTAGGATGGATTTAAAAGGAAGTGGCTGCTGGGAACAAGAAGTGTTGTCTGACACTGGCTCCCTCATCCACGTTTCTCATTTCCAGTGTGTAAATCCTCTCCTATAGTCTTAGCCCCTTACACCCAAAACATGAGTGGTGGCGGCGCAAATGCAAGGAGAAATGAGTCACCACAGCACCGATCTACAATGAGCATGAACGTCTGTGTTTATTAAAAATAATTCACACTGACGTGACGAGAATGTATGGATGCAATTTTTTATACACTAGATGTGTATAGTTAAATCATGCCATCATTCATCTGAGAACTACAACTTTCATGCAGAGATGGATTTCCAGGTCACAGGCAGACGTGAGACTGTCAAAGACGGGCTGTTAGTGCACTCTGTATTACTGTTGGTTGTAGAAGTTGTGTTATGAGGTAAAAAATAAGGTAACCATTCTGTCAGATTGATTGTCATCCAATGTGAATTTAATAATGGGAATTTAAAACAAAAAAAACCAAAAAACATCGAATGTGATGTCATGTAATATTTTGTCTCCAATCCTGGCATTAGAAAGTGTTGGTGGTATGACTCACAGCTGTATAACTGCTAAAAAAAAAAGCCCTTCCTATAATTTGAAGCATCTCCAGACCTCGAAGCTACTGATGATACTGAACAGATACCACGAGTGTGATGTGTTAAAATCTTATTTGACATCAGAGTTTCCCAAATATTCTTTTCTAGAGCCACACTGCAGTCACTGAGTTGATCCATTCTCCTTATGTAACTAGGCCTACTCTAAGATCAAAATGCAGCATCACGTTTTCTCTCTTTTTCTTTTGACCCTTCAATTTGTTAAAACTCAATGAGAAACTCATGAGATGTGGATCATACAGTCACTGATGCTGTTAAGGGACACATTTCTTTAGAGTTCAGTGTCAGAATTGCATTGAAACATCTCACGAGTAAGTCTGCTCACCACTCCTCACAAGTGAACTGTTGTTAAAGATATACTACAGAACTATGTCCACAGCCATCCGGTCAAAGAATCAGCTACTATACCTTTAACCAAACACAATCAGGAAACATCTGAAGGTCAGCTGTATTTGAGGAACATGGCAACGGGTTTCCATTATTTCCAGGTTTTAGTTTGACTTGTGTGAATGAAATTATTAAAAATATATATCCATAACCTCTGACACAAGTGGTTAACTTGCACTAATTTAAAAATGGTCATGGGTTTGTAAAGATGAAAAACCTCAAAATGCGGCATGTTTTATTTGATGTTATGCAAAATTCAATGTCTGTAGAGTATTAGCCGGAGTTTTGTTTTTAATGCAGTATGTGTGGAATTGTAAATACTTTGTGTACAATTTGAGATGGTATATTTACTATACTGTACATATGTGTGACATTGTATCATTTTGTTTTTGTAAAACAGTTAGTTTCTGTATAATAATAAACAAATTTAACTACTCCAGTGTTAGTAATAAAATGGTTTACTCTTCAAAATTATGAATTTGTGTGACATTTTTAGTAAATACATCTTAGCAACAATGTAAAATTAAGTTTCTAAAAGAAAGTGCTCGTAGGTCTGTTTCAGTTGAATATCTCATGGCTTCATACTATCTTCCGCAGCATAGGTCCACCTACAAGGGTGGAGTCAAAGTTCCTACAAACATACACAAATGATGTAGACAGTGGACTACAGGCAATCTATAAATGATATGAAGATTGTTGTTCAGATTTAACTGAGTTGTGACACCAAAATCTTTGGTATGAAACATATACCTTTTTTCTTTTGTGAATTACACTTGGTCATTATGAATAAAGATGCCGGAGAATATATATATTACTTATTTTATCTTCATCGTCAAAGTAATTCAGTTATGTTTTTCCATATATCCACTGGCACAGACAATAAGCCTGTTATTAGCCAATTCAATCTATTTTTTATAAATTGTAAAAACAAAAACAAAAAAAAACATCAATACAAAATCAGAGCATAATTTCGTTTCTGTTTCCAAATTTGTAATTTAATATTTTAATACTTCTGGTCTTCACTATAAATTTGGTACCTAAAACAGATTACTAATTTATGCCTATCTGCTATAAACCAGCATACAACGGATTTCTTGTGTTTGTGAAGTTACATTTCATTAATTGCAAAACCAAAAGTAAAATAAGTCAGTTGGTTAAAATATAAACTCGCATTCCAGTTTTAACCACAAAAGCTGGTTTGCTCTGAACCACATACAGTTTTAGAACGACCAGCATGGCTGTGTTTAGACTGTTGGAGGAAGCCAGAGCCAACGAGGCGCAAAGAGATCCAACGGCAAACTGCTGAGAAAGGCTCCAGCTGACCAGAGGCATCTACTACAAAGCAGGATTTTGGCTGGTCCAGACAACTTCAGGGTTAACCCTGGGACGACCCACACCTCTGGAGCAATCATTTCTTAAGCCCTCAGATGAAGTAAGCCAGGTCAGCCAGCTATTGCTGTCCTCCTCCATCCTGTGTGATGATTGATGGGTCCATGTGGTTGTCCCCACTAGCTCTGCGAAGGATATGGGGGTCCCCTCTCCTTGTGTTTCTTCACTCTGGTAATCAAGATGAGCTAGATCTTCTCATGCCTGTGGAGTTTGGTAGAGATTGGATGAGATTTCTTTAAGTTATAGCAATTACGAGCTTCATGTGAAAATATTGAAATTTGCCAAAGCTACCAGTTTCACACCCTTTAACAAAAACTCATAGTTTTTAACCTCCTAAGACCTGAACTCTTCCACGGCATGCATTTTTCATTTCTCTTTGATATTTGGGC